CCCCTGCATTGGGTCTCGAGTTCGAATCCCGCAGTTCGACTCGGCGCAAAAAACCCAGACGGGCGTTGTCACTGGTTCGAAAACCCACCTTAGCGTTCACCTGCTATCCGCCGGTACCCAAACCGGATGCATCTCCGCACGACCCAGGAATGCAGTTTTGCGACGGTGTATCATTCACTTTATGCCACCGTTGCATATCCGAGCGATTGAAAGTTGTCGGGCTACGTGCGCATGTCGCGGGCGACGCCCGTCCGCAGCTGACACGTCGTGGTGACGATGATGGCGAGGAGCATCATGGTGGAGAGGAGTGTCCTGCCCTGCCAGGGCTCGCTCGAGTTTCCGGTCTGGGCATGAGCGCGCGCGTCACAGCGCAGGCCAGGTCTACACTGGCCGCGGCACCAGCTCCCGCGGTCTGCACGCTAGGAGTGGTCCGCCCTCGCAATGAATGCGGAATACTACTACGAAAAGTACACTCTGCAAAGGGCCCCTCCGTACTTCGACGCGGCTGCTCGCGTAGAGGAGGTAGAGAGGGAGAGGTTGTATTGAGTAATGCGTCCTTCTTGCGGTACGACCGAAGAGAGACCCTCAGCCTCGCCGCCGCGGGTGCGGCGGCTAAGCCTGACATGCGTTGATTGAGGGGAGGGAGGCGATGCACTTTGCCCCCCCCCAGACGACCGACATCACACACGACAGTCAGCAGCAGACATGCACATGACAGGCGGAGGGACAGGGAGATACCCGCAAGACGCACCCGGAGCATCCTCTCGGGTGGAATCAAACATCAGTACAGAACACAGTCGCCAGGGCGTGGTGGGCGGGAGGCGACTGAGAGGTGATGGCGAGGCGTGCGAGCGATGAAGGGCAGACACTCGATTGCGCCGACGGGCGCAAGTCTGCCGATATCTCATCCGATATCTCATCCAATATCTCATTAGCTTCGACGCCTCGTGGTGTGAAGTAGATGATGTGGTACAGAGGCCTACGGCCTGCAGGGCGAGCGCCGCACGAAGCCCAGCACCACCCCTCAGCAGAGCTGGCGAGAATCCTGGCGGATTCGCGCTACCTCTGCAAAGGGCCCCTCCGACCGCCGTTGCCGAATCCTCTGTGCCCTCTTCTTTCGCTCCGTCGACGGGAGCACGGATGAAGATGCTCATCGGCGGGTTCGCCGCCGCGGGCGTGGGCACTTGAGCAGCTTGTGTTGTGCGGGCCAGTGCGGCCTGCTTCGCGGACTTGCATCTGACGATGAAGCAGGCTGCGTCGGTGGCTGACATGGCAGGGCCGGCGGCCAGGGCGGCCAGCGACGCTTCTTGGAAGTTTTCGAGGCCTGACGCCATCCATTCGGCGAGGAGCGCCTCGAATATGTCATGGTCCTCGAGGGCGACCTTTTGTTGCTCTGACTCGCATACGAGACAGACGGCCTTCGCGCGGAAGTCGTCAGCTTGGCCGCCGAGCCTGACGCGCCGCATGAGCGCTTGGAATGCGGTCGATGGCAGTGGCTCTGGCGTGACAGGTACTTTGAATGACTCGCCGAGCCGAGCGAGGAAGGTTTGCATCTCATCCACCGAAACGCTATCCTTCCCGGCAATCTCTCCCAGCATCGCGCTGTGCCGTTCGCTGAGGATGACGGCGTTGAGCGCACCAAAGAACATTTGGATTCTCGTGCTGGTGGCGATCGATGCTGCACCGAACGCCGGCATCTCGTCTGCCACCTTGAGAACTTCAGCCGTGACAACGTGGCCTTCCTCTGCCTCCTTGCACTGTGGCAGCTTACGGAACATTTTCAGTGCCTCGTTGGCACCTGATATCTTGACCTGCGCCGAGGCGACCTCGTCACGGCGCTCTTCGTCGGCCTCGAGCATCTTGTTGGCCCGGAGGGTATCCAGCCATCCGGCCCAACCGGTAAAGATCCTGCCCAGCTGATTAGCGGAGAACAACTTAGTGTCTTGCAAGTGCTCCCTCTCGGCTTCCTGGGCGGCGGCGGTCTCCCCCGCTGTCACCGCCTGCCCCAGCAGCCCTTTGATGATCGGCCGTGCCAGCTCCGCGGCCTGCGCTGCCGTCGCGTCTGGGTGCATCACTTTGACGGTGAACTGCTTCGTCCCACCATCGACGACTCTGCCACCCACGCACACGATGATCTGCCCGCTTGTTATACTGTGCACCTGCGAATCGGCTCCAGCCGTGCCAGACAGCTTCTCAATGATGGCATCCGTGCTCACGGTGAGGGCCATGGCGACTGAGAGGTGATGGCGAGGCGTGCGAGCGATGAAGGGCAGACACTCGATTGCGCCGACGGGCGCAAGTCTGCCGATATCTCATCCGATATCTCATCCAATATCTCATTAGCTTCGACGCCTCGTGGTGTGAAGTAGATGATGTGGTACAGAGGCCTACGGCCTGCAGGGCGAGCGCCGCACGAAGCCCAGCACCACCCCTCAGCAGAGCTGGCGAGAATCCTGGCGGATTCGCGCTACACTAGTGCGACACACTAGTCAGTCTCGTAATCGCGCCAAGAGCGCGGATACACACACAAACAACAGGCGCGGCTATGAATAGCTGCGCATATACAGATAACGACTGTTCACAGTTGGGAGAGAGAGAGGGGTCTCTAACCGCCTTGCCGACGGTCGCGACGAGCTTGCTCCACAGCCGGGCAGCCTGCCCCTGGAGCGTCACAGCAAAGCCGGGGCCGTTGCTAGCGTTGAGCATTGACAGGACCTTCGTCCGGGCCCACGGCCGGCACGCCGTCAAATTTTCTCGCCGATCCCGCGCGCTCGGCCGCCACCGCGGCGCCTTCCGAGAGCGCCGTTTCGACACGCTGCAGCCGCGGGCCGCGGCACCTCGACACACCGCCTCTCGCGCCGCCTCGAGGTGCTCCGATCGTGCACGCGGGCCGGCTCGGCACGGTGCGTGCGAATTATCGCATGTATTCGCACTCGCTGCGCCACGTATCTGCCTCTGACGGCCCGATACGCCACCCGAAGCGCCACCGGTCCACACACGCGGGGCTGCGCGACTCTCTCGCGGCCCACCGCCCTCCCAGACGCCGTTCGACCTCCACACAGGCGCTTGCTCGAGCCTCGCCGCGCCGGCGGTCCTGCGCGTCCAGATCTCGGCTACCGAAGCCCGCCACGCGCCAGCTCTGCACCTCTCCCGCGCGCGCCCGGCTGCTGGCATGGCGAGGCGGGCGAGGCTGGCGCGCTGCGACCGGTGGAGCGCCGCACGGGCAGCGCACCAGCCTCGCACGCACCTCTCCACTGCGCCGCGTGCGCCGAGTTGCCTCAAGATACAGTCAGCGGCCTTGACGGGTGAGTTCACACATAGCTCGCGGTCTGAGCGAGGCTCTTGGTGCGGCGGCAGCGTAGTGTGTGTGTGTGCGGAAGCAGCGCTCCTCGAGCCAAGGCTCGATGGCGGACGAGCGGTAGTGCGAAAGGCGAAGGGACGACCGCAGACTTCACACACCCAATAAAAACGTTTCATTGGGGGGGGGGGGGGGGCAGTCCCGTGACTGGCATTGCGCGCCGCGTGCGCCTGTTCTTCGGAAACGTGGACACGTGCGCTCGCGTTTTGTGAGAAGACGAAAAAAGAAACACGGTACACCGACCTCCGACGCGGGGCGGAGGACCCCGGGAGCCCGAGATTGTCCGTATCCATGTCCATGTGACGCGGGTCGCGGCGCGTCGCCTCTCGTCACAGTCTCAACACGCGATCTCGACCCGGGGTGTGTTGAGCCAGCGATCAGCACCACAAGCCACCACAAGCCACACCCCGACTACACTGTGACCACATCATGTTGAGCCTCGCAGCACACTACCAGCGGCGCACGCGGCGCAGTGGAGAGGTGCGTGCGAGGCTGGTGCGCTGCCCGCGCGGCGCTCCACCGGTCGCAGCGCGCCAGCCTCGCCCGCCACGCCATGCCAGCAGCCGGGCGCGCGCGGGAGAGGTGCAGAGCTGGCGCGTGGCGGGTCATGGTCGCCGAGATCTGGACGCGCAGGACCGCCCGGACGGCGAGGCTCGAGCGAGCGCCCGTGTGGAGGTCGAACGGCGTGTGGGAGGGCGGTGGGCCGCGAGAGAGTCGCGCAGCCCCGCGTGTGTGGACCGGTGGCGCTTCGGGTGGCGTAACGGGCCGTCAGAGGCAGATACGTGTCGCAGCGAGTGCGAATACATGCGATAATTCGCACGCACCGTGCCGAGCCGGCCCGCGTGCACGATCGGAGCACCTCGAGGCGGCGCGAGAGGCGGTGTGTCGAGGTGCCGCGGCCCGCGGCTGCAGCGTGTCGAAACGGCGCTCTCGGAAGGCGCCGCGGTGGCGGCCGAGCGCGCGGGATCGGCGAGAAAATTTGACGGCGTGCCGGCCGTGGGCCCGGACGAAGGTCCTGGCTCGAAACGCGAGCAGAGGCCGCCGTGTCCGGCGGCAGCGGCGGCGGCGGAGGCGCTCTCGGAGCCGCACCGTTGGGAAGCGAGGGCGCGGGCAGGGCGCAGCCGCGCCGCGCTGCTCGCCGCGCAGCCGCACCAAAGGCACAGCGGTGGCCTGCTGCTGTCGCTTGGCCCAACCCTTAGCGGGACGCTTGTCCGCCTCCGGTGTGCTGGTACTCGATGCTGGTACCACCGGGCGTGGCACGCTTGCCACGGCGCCCGCTCGCTGTGGCACTGGCCTGCGCGATGTCGGTCCCCGACGGGGCCGTCGCAGCTGCCGCCGACCCAGCGGCGGCTGGGCTGCTGGCTCCCTTGCTCTTTCGTCCGCGGGCGGCCACCGCGGCGGCCGGAGCGGTGCCGCCCGCGGGCCCGCTGAGAGCGCCGCTCGTGAGGCGTCGCGCGGCCCGTCCCCGTCGGCGGGCACCGTCTCCGGCGCGGCGGCGGGGTGCCCGGCACCACTGGCGCCTGGGAGGCGGCCGGCGGCGGCGCGGGAAGGCTGGATAGGCCGCCGCGATGGCCGGCAGTCTCTCGTGTGCTTGGCAGGCATCCCTGTCTACGCCCTTACCTCGAGATAGGAATCGAGAGCCTGGGGACTGGCGCCCGAAAGTGGCGCTTTCGGGCAAGGCTCTCAGCCACGCCCCGTGCGCGCTCGGCTCGAAGTGACCCGGCAGGACCTTCGTCCGGGCCCACGGCCGGCACGCCGTCAAATTTTCTCGCCGATTCCGCGCGCTCGGCCGCCACCGCGGCGCCTCCGAGAGCGCCGTTTCGACACGCTGCAGCCGCGGGCCGCGGCACCTCGACACACCGCCTCTCGCGCCGCCTCGAGGTGCTCCGATCGTGCACGCGGGTCGGATCGGCACGGTGCGTGCGAATTATCGCATGTATTCGCACTCGCTGCGCCACGTATCTGCCTCTGACGGCCCGTTACGCCGCTCGAAGCGCCACAGGTCCACACACGCGGGGCTGCGCGACTCTCTCGCGACCCACCGCCCTCCCAGGCGCCGTTCGACCTCCACACAGGCGCTCGCTCGAGCCTCGCCGTCCGGGCGGTCCTGCGGTCCAGATCTCGGCGACCATGACCCGCCACGCGCCAGCTCTGCACCTCTCCGGCGCGCGCCCGGCTGCTGGCATGGCGTGGCGGGCGAGGCTGGCGCGCTGCGACCGGTGGAGCGCCGCACGGGCAGCGCACCAGCCTCGCACGCACCTCTCCACCGCGCTTTGGGTGCAGCTGGATGTTTTTGCACGAGGCGAGCGTCGCGCGGCCGTGGACGTCGAGCTGGTACATGTTGGAGGTGGGGTTCCACTTCGGCTCGCGGTTCTTGAGCTCCATGAGCCCGCCGAGGTCGCCGCGCTTGAGCCGCTCGTTCAGCTGCCCCGCTGCATCCTTTGGCCGCGCCGGCACCATCCCGCCCTCGCTGTCCACCTCGGGCACCACCACCGTCATGGCGCCCGGGTTGCGGTTGCGCAGCGAGTTCGAGAAGTTGACGTGCAGCAGCTCGCACCGCAGCTCCGACTTGCCGCCCTTCTCCTTGCCGTCGAACGAGGCGCCGTCGTCGTAGAGCGTGTACTCCTGCGCCTTGCGGTCGGAGCGCACCTTGCCGACGTACGACTCTGGCATGCTGGAGCTCGCCTTCGCGCGCTTGGCGTCGTCCTGGTCGAGCGCGATGGAGTAGTAGCAGCCCTTCGACACGGACCACTTCTTCGCCGTGAAGCAGTACATGTCGTCCGTCTTGGAGATGGACATGAAGAAGTCGAAGCGCGCCGCCACATGTGGGGGCGCGCACGCGCGCGGCTCAGGCACGGGAGGCTACGCGTGGCGGGAGCTGCGCGCCCGACACGTGGCGGGCTCGGTCAGCAGCCGCTTCAGCTCGGTGTGCGACGTGCCGAGCAGCTGCTGCAGCACGCGGCGCAGCGCGTCGTCGCTGCTGCCGACCGGGCCGCCCGCGGGTGGCGCGTCGATGCCGCGGCTGCCCCCATGCTTGGGCGGTGCCACGACCGCCCCGTTGGACGACCCCCTCCGGTCGAGCTTGCCCTGGCCCTTCTTCTTCTCCTCGAGGTAGAGCTGCTGGTACTGGTAGTCGAGCGGGTGCTGCCACAGCACCTGCTTGGTCACCTCGTGCATGTAGTACAGATCGCCGTTGGGCGACTCGCACTGGTCCCACCCCTCCGGGTCGTCCGCCTGCAGCGCCTGATCCGCGATCCACAGCAGCCCGACGTCCTCGCGGAGATCCATGCCGAGATAGACGGCGTACTCGAGGACGTCCTGCGCCGCGCACGGGCGCAAGTCCGGTAACGAGGGCAGCCGGGGACCTCCGCCGCAGCGGCGATAGAGGCGGGCGGCGCACCTCGGTGCCTGAGCGGAAGCGCACGCCGTCCGCCTCGAGCTCCTGGAGAACCTATTGGTGTGCGCCCCAGCGGCGGGTGAGCCGCGCGCGAGGCGCGGTGCCTCGTGCGTTGCCGCGGGGTTTCGCCTGCTTGCGCAGCACCTCCTCCTCCTCGATGGCGCGCTGCGTCGCCTGGGGGCGGGGCGAAGGAAGGGTGGCTGGTGGGGGGCGGGGCGAAGGAAGGGCGGCTGGTGTCATGAGTGCGACACCTCCTCCTCCTCCGCTACTGAGCGGCGGATGGACTCGGCGTCGGCCGTCTCCGCCTCCTCCTGTATCCGGCTCTGCTGCTTGATCAGCTCCTGAAAGTGGCGACGCGAGTCGCATTGAAGAGGGAGGGGGGGGGGGGGGGGGGGGGCGAGGGAGAGGGGCCCGGCGGGCGCGCACACGCGCGCCTCCTTCTGCCGCAACTTGGCCTCCGTCTGCTGCTTGACGAGCGCCGCGTCTCGCGAGGCCATCTCCGCCTCGCGCTTCCGCCGCTCCTCGGCCACCTTCTTTTCGGCCTCCGCCGCCGCCGCCACATTCTTCCGCTTGATTTCGGCGAGCCTCGCCTCCTCCTCCTTGCGCCGCTTCTCCTCCTCCTTGAGCGTCGCGAGCCGCCGCTCCCCGCGCTCCAGCAACGCCCTGTCCGACTTGCAGCCGGCGGCGCGCTGCAGCGCCACCTCGAGCTCAGCTATATCGGCCGCGCCGATGGCCTTCTCCAGCGCACCCTCCGCCTCCCTTCGCGCCCGCAGCTCCGCCACGAGCGCCGCCACGCGCTCCTCCGCGCCGGCGACGCTCGCCTCGCCCGCCGCGTAGCGATGCACGCCGGCGGCCCGGGCGTCCGCAATGGCCGCCCGGAGCGCCTCGACATCCTCCTGCGCCGCAGCGGACAGCATCGCCTGCAGCGCCTCCTCGCGCACACGCCGCAGCTGACGCGCCGCCTTGCGGGCGATGTGGCCGCGCCCGGCCGCCTGAATGGCGACGGCGACCTTTGCCTGCATCTCGAGCCGGCGCGTGCGCAGGCCCTCGAGCATGCCCGAGGCGAAGAAGACGCGCGCCTTCCCGCAGCGGAACTTTTGGCCGGGCACGCCGAGCTTCTGGAGCAGCGCCAGCACGCGGTCCTTGGGCGCCTTGCCCGCGAGCTCCGCCTTGGTGCCGAGACCGGGAACCACGAGGAAGTTGCCGCAAAACTCGTCAAAGGGCATGCGGTCGGGGAATCCGGTGCGGGCGACACGCAGCGCGTCGAGCACGCCAGACGTGTTGAGCTGGCGCGTGATGACGGCGTCCTCGACCAGGTCGGGCTTCTTCTGGTCGTTGGACTTGAAGCAGCGCACGAAGTGCAGGTCGCACTTGTCGAGCGTGCCGACGAGGTCCGTGAGCTGCGCCGAGAAGGTGTCGGTGACGCCCTTGAACTTGGTCGACTTGAACTTCTTCCGGTCGCCCGCCGCGGGCGCCACGTCCGCCGGCTCGGTGAAGAGCTCCTTGAGCAGCTCGTTGTCGGAGAACTGCATCAGCACGACGAGGTCGCCGTTGAGTGGGTCCTTGTTCTTGTCGAGCCAGGCGCGGGTGCCGTAGTTGACCAGGCCGGCAAAGTGGTTGATGCCGAAGCCGTCCTTTGGGCCGACGCCCTTCATGCGCACGATGATGCCGCCCTTTCCGTGCTGCGCCATCACCTTCTCGGTGAAGCCCTCGTCCGACCCCTTTGGCACGACGCACTCCTCGCTCAGGATGGCGAGCAGCCCCGTGTTTGGCGCCTCGAGCGTCTGGATGAGCGCGCCGTTGTCGGTGTAAGAGATGTCGGCGGCGTCGATGCCCTCCTCCGAGTAGGCGCGCATCGTCTCGGCGAAGACGGTCTTGGTGAAGAGCGCCTGCAGCTTCTCGTTCGCAAAATTGATGCACAGCTGCTCCAGCGAGTTCTTCTCGAAGATCTCAAAGCCGAAGATGTCGACGATGCCGATGACGTGGGCGGTCGCCCGCGGCGAGTAGATGTTGCGCGCCTCGGCGAGCGCGCGGTTGATCTGGACGATGAGGCGGTCGAAGAGCTTCGAGTAGATGGCCTTGGCGAGGGCGTCCCGGTTGTCGCCCGCCGCGACGAGGCTCAGGTCCTTCTCCACCATGTCGCCGCCAACCTTGAGCTTGCGCTTCGTCAGCGCCTTTGCGAGGCTGCCCTGCTGCAGGCCGAGCACCGCCTCGCAGCCCGCGACGGAGGGCGCGCTCGAACCCTCGACGGCCGCCGCGTCCGTGTTGGCCGCGTCGAAGCGCACGTTGCCAAGGAGCAGCACCCCCGCGATGAGCTGCCACAGCTCTTGCAGCGCCGCGCCCTCCCACGCCTGCGCGGCGAGCGCCGTCTCGAGCTCCGCCCACAGCATCTTGTCGGTGCGCTCGCCGCCCGACTCGCCGGTGTGGCCGCCCGCCAGATAGGCGTACGCACTCGGCTCGGCCGACGGCAGACGCAGCTGCTTGAGCAGAGCGGGCGACGCGCCGCGCAACAGCGCGTAGAAGCAGTGGTACGAGCGCTCGCCCGGGCCGCACTGCGTGACGCGGGTCTTCTCGAGGAGGTAGGTGTTGAGGCTGGCGCCCTGGATCCGCGCGCTCGGGTCAAAGTTGAGCGCCGTGAACTTTCCCATGCGCGACGAGTTGTCGTTGCGCACCGTCTTGGCGCAGCCTGTCCGCCCAGGCACCGCGGTGGTGAGAGAGGAGCGGAGTGAGCGCGGGGGGCAGCGGCGAGCCGTGTGACGCCGCGGCGGCCCAGGGACTGCGGGCTCGCACGGTGCCCTCTGGGTGCCGCACCAAAGCCCTCGGTGATGGGGTCGGAGCCGTAGAGGCGGGTCTCGAGCTCCGGGCTGGTGTTGCTGACGTATCGGAGGTAGAGCATCATGTGGCGCGCGGACTCGGTCTTCCCGGCCCCCGACTCGCCGCTCACAATGATGGCCTGGCTGCGCCCGTTGTGGATCATCGCCCGGTGCGCCGCACTCGCAATCTCAAAGGTGTGCGGCGGCTCGGCTGGGAGCGAGTGGGCATTCTTGTACTGCGCGAGCACCGCCTCCGAGAAGAGGCCCATCCTCTTGTACGGATTGACAGCAATGAGCACGGAGCCGCAGCGCGTGTAAATCGCGTCGTGCGCGTGCCGCGTCCGAAGCTTGTCGAGCACGAAGCCGGCGTCGATGGTGTCGGCCTGGCCAAGGTCTGGCGTGTCGCTGGCCCCGGGCTCGCGTGGCAGCGCGCCGTCCGCCATCGACACAGACCGGCAGGCAGCCGCCGAAGAGAGCAAGGTTGCCCAGTGTTGTGCAAAAAAAGAATTTAAAAGTCCGTCTCACAGCACACAGGCTCGACACAGGTGCGAACTGGCGCGTGCTAGTACTACCACCGGCACACCACCGGAGCCGCCTAAGCGACTCCGTTAAGAATCTTACAACGAAACTCCTTCGCACACCAAAGAATTTGAGAATAACTCCCTCGCACCAACACTGGAGGCGGCGGCACCGCAGAACGAAGCAGAGGAGAGCGACGCGACAGAAGAAGAAGAGACAAGGGAAAGAACGACGAGAAGGGGGCGACCGCGAGGTGGCATGAAGGTCGCAGCGAGAATCTGCGAGAGACTGCGAAGAGAGATAGGAAGAGGCGTGAAGGTGGGGGAGTGTTAACATAGGACACCACGGACAGTCAGAACTCTGTACGTGACATCCTGTGTGACCTTCAGTTTCACGGTGCCAACACTGTGACGGCCGCCCGCGGCGACGTGTTTCGAGCTCGCTGGCCTTCTCCGCGCGGCTGGGCCCGCCCCTAGTCGGGGCCGACCCGCCCAGTCACTGGGCAGCGCGTGCGCCGGCGTTCTGGACGACGGTGTGCCGATGCATCCGGGAGGCTCCGCGGGGCTGCTCTAGCAGCCTCGGGAGGGTCGAAAATCGAAGCCGAAGCGGCGGACCACGGAAGCTCCACGGACGGTGAGGCGGGCTGTGGTTGGCCCCCCCTGACCGGGTGAGGGAGTGGCGCCCCGGGAGTGCCGCTCCGGCGACGTCTGTGGCCTCCACGGTACCGTGACCGCGGTGCTCGCTCTCGCGGCCGTCTCACGACCCGCTCGAGACGAAAACCGGAGCGGACGGTGCGACGAACCGCGAGTGGGATGGTCTTCTCCGCGCGGCTGGGCCCGCCCCTAGTCGGGGCCGACCCGCCCAGTCACTGGGCAGCGCGTGCGCCGGCGTTCTGGACGACGGTGTGCTGGTGCATCCGGGAGGCTCCGCGGGGCTGCTCTAGCAGCCTCGGGAGGGTCGAAAATCGAAGCCGAAGCGGCGGACCACGGAAGCTCCACGGACGGTGAGGCGGGCTGTGGTTGGCCCCCCCTGACCGGGTGAGGGAGTGGCGCCCCGGGAGTGCCGCTCCGGCGACGTCTGTGGCCTCCATGGTACCGTGACCGCGCCGGCCTCGCTCGGGAGGCTCTTTCGGAGCCGTCGGCCTCCGAAACCGTCGCGTTGCTGCGCCTGCGGGACGGCTTCGATGCTCGCCAAACCCGTCGGCACCGTTCATATACACATGAATTGTGAGTGAACGCGCATTTTTCTGGTATTTAACTGAAATGTGCCGAAATGTTAGTTTCGATCTAGTCCTCACGGACACAAAACAGAGGCCTCCTAGCACGGAGAAGCGACTAAGAGTCGCCGACGTGCGAGTTAAATGCCAGAAAAATGCGCCCGGAATCACAATTGATCCCGTCGACAAGGCGCCCCAATCGCGGAGGTCTGGCGCGGGCGTGGAGGCGAGCATCGACGCCTCGACGGTTGCTCTTCAGAGGTCGTAAACAGGCGCCTGAAAAAGGAGAGAACGCGAGACTGATCACGCGCGCGGAAAAGCCCGAGGGGCGAATCTAAAGTGCCGAGGCGCTTGCTAATCACCCCAGCTAGGGCCACGGAGGCGCTCGCGGCAGGTCTCCGCGCGCGCGCTGGCCGGTGGCAGCTGATCTCGGGCGGCGGGCGGCGGGAATGGGCTCGGGCGGCACCTTTTGCCCTCAAAAGTCGTTCGAGAGCACCGGGTCGCGGCGGGAACGCGCCCATCCGCTCGATGGGTGTCAGGAGTCGATCGCCTGCGCCAGGAGCGAGCACGGGAGTCGTCGCGATGGGAGTCGTAGCGGCGTGGCGCTCGGCTTCGAGAGAGCGACGTGGGCGCGGCGGCGCGGGCGGCCGGTGGGGCGCGTGAGGTCCGCACCTTCGCGACGGGCAGGCTCGATACGGCCGCTGGCCGGGGCGGCCGCTCGACCGGCCGCCGCGGTCGTTCCGGCGGCGGCGTCGGCGTCGGCGTCGCGAGCGAACTGGCTCGCATTCGACGAGCGACCCTCTTCACAGCCTTGTTATTGAGAAGACAGTGGCCAGGGGCGGGGCTTGCATTTTTGCCGTCGCCAGTCCCCCCCCCCAAACGCTACAGCGGGGGCGGCGGCGGCGGCGGGGGCGGCGGGGCGGCGGCGGCGGCGCGACGGGGTGGGTAGGGGGGTGGGGAGCCGCTGCCGTGTGCGCTGCGCGTGCGCGCACCGCACACCATACGGCGGGAAACAGACGGCGAAGGGGGGCGCGGCGGCAGCGGCGCAGCGCGCGCGCGGCGCGCGCGCGGCGCGCGCGACGGAGGGGCGGAGCAGCGACCGCTGGCGCGGTCGCTGCTCCGTCTGTCCCGGAGCGGCGTCTGCGCGGGGTGCGCGTCAGGAGAGGGGGCAAGCGTGGCGGCGCGGGACGCGCGGCGG